ATTCAAAAACTTCTCCTAGGAATATGTTAGATTTTCATTAATTTCTGGATCGTCTAAGGAAGCATAAGAATTCCAAACGGAAACTGAAACTAAACTAATAAACCCTTTCTTGAAAAGATTCGTGTCCTATTTGTTCCTTGAAGAAGTTGCCAAACAACCTTACCTTTTAAATCCTTTCAAGGATCTAACAAGAAAAAATATTGTCAAACCCTGCAAAAATGCAGGAGCAGCACAGGGGCACTTGCCAGGGCCTGGGGAAACGCAGGGGTCAGCCTCTACACGGCGACACAGCAGGCATTCTGCAGGGGACAGAGCCAATGGCAGCGGGCATGAGCAGCTCTGTGGGGCTCTCAGCCCGCAGCATCGGCCCCAAGGGCTGCTCTGTCCCTGCCTGCGTGCCTGGCTGATGGGCAGGGCTGGAGGCCTTGGAGAGCAGCGGCCATTGCGGGCACGGGGCTCCCAACAGCTGCCCCCTGGCCCAGCTGGGCTCCACTTGAGGAGGAAGGAGGCTCCCAGCCCTGGCCTGGCTGAGCAGCTCCTGCCTGCCCCGGCCTCTGATCTGGGCCCCACGCTGGCCACCCCGACAGCCCCTGGGCCAGGCTGTGGGAGGGCTGCTTTGCCCTCACCTGGCTCCCTGCCATCAGGGCCCTCCTGCTCCCTGTCGCACATGATTCTGGTCAGTGGTGAGTCCCTGTGCAGGAACTGCACGGTGTCCTCGAGGTGCTGGTCCTCTCCCTCTCTCTGTGGGAGCAAGAAGAGTGTGGAAAGTTTGCAAGACATGTCCAGCACCATGAGAGTGTGTAGCGGTTTAGATTTGCTAATTTTGTTTTTCCGGCCAATTCACCAAATAAATGCTGTGGTTTTAATGCAGTAACTAAAAAATTACTTATTTTTTGCTGTGAGATATGGATTAGAACAATGGCAAAACAGGCTTAAAACTTAAAAAGAATAAAGAAAGTTTATTAACAAAACTACAAGAACACTAGAATAAACTTCCAGGAAACTCCTTTTATCCCCCACTATCCAACCATTTCCTTGTTCACATGACAACAGAGAGACAAAAAACATTGGAACTTTGGTGTTTAAAACAGTCCCAATTCCTGCTAGGGTCTTTTCATCAGCCTTTGTAGAGAAACAGAAGTCTTCTGGTAACTTATGGAGTTTTTCACGAAAAAACTATTTCTGTTACAGTTTTCTATTTCTCTGATGCCAGCTGCCCAGAAATCTTGTCATCAGTTCTCTCCTCCCATTTCTCATCCCTCTGAGGTGTGTATGGGTCATGAGTCTAGGGATGTCATTTTTAAGGATGAGTTATTCAAAGGCAAAAGTTCTCTTCATTTGCCTCTGTGAGCTTCTCTGGAAAACAGTTTTCTCATTGCCCTCAAGGCCTCAAATCTTCTCTTCACTCTGTTCCAGCACTTCACTGTATCACAATTACTCCACCTTTTGCTCAAAATCCACACTTTGAACACTCCATTCCTCCCAATATACTCTGTCATGAATTAAAGGATGTTTTTTTTCAGAACACTATTTTCTATCTCCATAGCTTTAACAGAAAAATATTTCAGCTTATAAAGCATCTCCTTATTCTCTCTTCCTCATCTAAAACTTAACTCTTTTCTTCACTGTCTTCTTCATGTTGATTCTCTCTCTCTCTCTCTCTCTCTCTCTCTCTCTCTCTCTCTGGGAAAAAGGAGTAATCTTTACATTTTATCCAAGTAGTAAAAGAGTTAAAGTCTTGGAAAGCTGCAGATGTTCATGGTGTCAGGTTTCAGTTCAGCAGCAGAAACTGCAAACCCAGTCAGGCCGGCCGGCTCCGTTTCTCTTCCCCCCGCCCTCTGCAGCCTTGTCCGGCCTGGACGGGGGAGGGGGAGGAGGCCGAGACAGAGCCTGTTACCTCTTCAGAATCAGGAAACCAAAGAGAGCAAGAGAACCCTGGCTTTACATCTTAAGGTGGTGTTCACAGGTTGATCTCACTTTTCAATGGTCAAAACTGCTGTCAGTTCTTAGAAATGACCAATAATTGGTCAGGAGAAAAGACTCCCATCAGCCACCAGCAGCTTCAACTTCTTAGCTCCCAAAGCTATCTTAAAAGTAAAGTCACCCCGTTACAGAGTGCTACTCCCTGGTCAGCCCTGCGTGAGCCCTGCTCCTGTCCGCCTTCTGCTCCCGTTGTCGCGTTGAGGAACACCGCCGTCTCCTCTGGATGTTCCTGCGCTGATTCTGGGAAGGGAGAGGCAGGTGAGCCTGCAGCACAGGCCCAGAGGCCCGAGGTGTGGGGCCCCTCTGGTCCCTGGGCAGCTGCTTCCCTGCCTTACCTTCTCCTCCCGTTGCCAGGTCGCACTGACACACGGCCTGAGCCCAGCCTTCCCTTTTGGGGCCAAGGGAAATCTCTGCTCCTGGCCCCGGCACTGGACGCTCTGCCAGCTGGTCAGGCAAAGTGATGCCATGTGAGGCAGGCGTGAGCAGTGCAGGAAAGCCAACATCAGTGCAGTCTTCCAAAAAGGCAGCAAGAAGGGGCCAGGGAACTGCAGGCCCAACCTCTCGAATGTCATCTCCAAAGCTCTGGAATAACAGGAAGGGAAAACCACGCTTGAGGAATCTCATTGCCACCTCTGCTGCTGTTGAAGAATGGCTTGCTTCTCGAGGCCATAGCTCCCTAGAAGGCCTGCAGAACCCTGACTTTGAGCTAGCATGAGTCCTTGGCAAAATATTGTATCAAAGAAATGAAGAAGACTAATTGTTAATAAGACAATGAAGAATAAAGATTTAGGATAAGAAATCTGCTAAATGTATCTTGTGAATGTATCTTATGAAGTTTGTCAGGATGTGAATTCTGCAGAATGTATCCTCTATAACTGCTTAATGTATCTTAATAAGTTTCACTAAAAAAGTATCTTATAGAGTTTGGGCGTTATGAACTGGACCAATGAAATGTAGAAGTTAACATGTGAAAAATAGCAATTATCCAATCATAATAGAATATAGATCGCATGTTACCTTTTCAAAATACTATAAAAATGTAGCTAAGGTTGTAATAAATTTGGAACAAGCAGCTAACTCATATTGGGTTGTCTCTTGATTCCCGAACTCGTCTCCTACATCTGTCATTTTGAAATCCATCCTAATGAGACTTCTGAAACAGTACTTGTGTATATAGGCAATGGATGTGTATGCTTGAGAACTGCTTGTGATAGTATGCTTGTGGAAAACATAGTAGTGGATTCTAAGAATCATTCAAATTTTTGTGTATGAAATTTTACTGAGATCATAGGATGTGACTTTTCTTACTTAGGTCCACTTACTTCGTATTATCTTTTGCAGATTAATTATACTTTGATTCATCATTTAGTGCCTGCTCCAATTGGAATGAACCTCATTCCGGTAAAGCAATTGTTGCTTCACCAGAATTTAATCGAAATTTTGGAAAAGATTAGAAAAAGGAAAGAAATACATTGTGTTTTGGAATGACTGCTTTACATGTTGCTGTTACGCCTAAGGTTATTGATACTTGACGAACTATTCAGGCACTACAATAAGTAATTGGCCATTGTGACTATGAGGTTAATTAATTTTATTATGTTGTATTTTAGAATAAAATTGATTGTTTGTTTTCTGATAAGAAACCAATATTTTAGCCTTAGCTAAAATTATATATATTGATCAGTTTTCTTTGACATCAATATATTGATTTTTGTTCTTTTTCTTTTTCTTTTTCCTTTTTCTGTCCCTTATCCTTTCCCTACCACCTGTCTCTGTTTTTTCCAGGATATACTACCAACTGTAACGAGTCCTGAAGACTTCAAAGAAGAACTTCACAGCAGCACTATGACATCGTGCAGAAAGACCTCGCTTAATGACAATTGTGAGCCATGGGGTGGTGTAAGAGACAGTCCAAAGATTCTCTCATCTGTCTCACAACCGTCTGAAGGACAGAGACTGAGACTCTGAGTATCACAAGGGATTTGGTTTAGGGGTTCAGGCCTAGCTGAGGTGGATGTTTGGTAAGTGACTGTTTGCAGGTGGTTGCACGGTGCACTGTGCCCCCCACACAATGGAATTCATCACAATGATCATCAATCTCCTCTGGTTTTGGCCCTGTGCCCCTTGCTTTGTAAAAACTATAAAATTACACCCCAAATTTACCTTCCTTTGAGATCTCCCCAACAGACAGAAGACTCTGCATCGTCGGACGGCTGAGTGGACTTTGATGTTGGTAGCTGTAATCCCCTTACTCTCTTTTCTTATGCTTTGCTTTCTCCTCTTTTCTCTCTATCGCATATTAGTGCTGATGAGCACTCAATAAAGTGTGTTTTGCTGTTTAAGTCCTTGGTTTGCTGATAATCTTTTGTACTCTAAGACCGACTAAAAGAACCACATCAGGAATCCCACCTTGTGGATCGTGACAACTGTACACTCATTCCTGCCCCAAGCACCTTTCAAAATGTCTCTCTTCATTTCTCCCCCACGTCCCAGCTCCCTGGAGAGGAAGCTAACCTCAGTACAGGTAGTTCAAAGGAAAGTGCGTGTAGAGCAAGGACAGACAAAGCAGAAAAAGCTTATTGTTGTGAAAATAAAATAGAAACAGAGCAGGGGAGGCCAGATGAAAGCTCAAGATATCACAGTTGCAACACAAGGTTCCAGGCC